GGGCAGCCCCCAGGGCTCGGGCCGGGCACCGGGGGCGGGGGGCAGCGCTGCAGAGCGGAGGGTTGGAGCAAAGACCCCCTGGAGCCCCCAGCCCCTTCCAGCACCCACGCGAGGATGTCCCGGCATATCCCGTCCCGGGCTCCTGCAGTTCCCTGGGCAGGAGACAGGATGGGAGCATCCATGTTCCCTGGAAAGACACACGTGGCCTGTCCCTGTCCCCAGGTGGAGGGATCCTCCCCGCCCCCAGCCCTGCAGCCCATCCTGGGGGTCCTCGCAGCCCCCATGGGTGCCAGGGCTTGGACAGGGGGTCTCACACCGGGATAAACCAGAGCCGCAGGACCCTGCAGAGCCGCACACCTTGTGTTACCACCGGGAACTGTTGGGGAAAGAAAAGGCACTAGAGCTGCCTCCAGAGCTGCCCTCTCCTCTTCTGCACCACCAAGCACCATCCCGAGCTGCCTGCGCGTGAATTAAACCAGCAAAGCTCTTGCCTGGGGTGCCAGCCCCTCTGGGGGAGGCTGCAGGTCTGCAAGGGGGACAGCAGCCAAGGGACAAGCCCAGGACAGCTCACGGGAGGCTGCGGATGCAGCGCCGGAGCACGTAGCTCTGCTCACCCCGGACTGCGTCCCGCTCCAAGCGAACACACCGAGCAAAGTCCATGGGGCTGGTGATGGTGACCGGGTCTGGGCAGCGCAAGGGGTCCTGTGCTGCCCCCCTGTCCTGTAAGGCCCCTGGACGGCAGGAGGGTCCCCTCTCCTTGCAGGGGGCACTTGCTGCAGCAGGACAGGGGGTTCCGAGGCCACAGCGGGGAGTCGCGTCCCCTCGAGGACACTTGCATGAACATGGGGACACCACCTTTAACCCCCAGTGATGTGGGGCAGGGGGAGACGCGTGTGCAGAAACATGATGTTTCCCACAGCGGCACCAAGCGAGGGATGGGGACCCTCGCCCCATCTGTCCCCTAAGCCCGGGGGRGACACGCACCCCAGGGCCCCGCGCACGGCGCTTTGCAGCGGGACGGGGGACTGAAGCCGACAACAGGGGTGCTGGGCCGATGCAGAAGGGTTAAGCGGCGCGTGTGCGTCCACGCTGCCGTGCGCCCATGGGCAGGGACGGATCTGGTGGCCAATGGCCGGCCCGCGGGGTGGGAAGCGGCGCCGCGGAGCAGGGCGATCCCGGCCGGTAGAACCAGCGCGCGCAGCCAATGGGCGCCGCGGCCGCGGTGGAGTGATCCTGCATCACGGCCCCGGCCCCATTACATCATGTCGCTCCTGCGGGATCCGCCGCCCGGGCCACGTGGGCGCTCCGGAGCCGCTGAGACGGCTTTTCCAGAGCGCGCAGGGTGGGAGGAAACCGCAGGGGAAGCAGTGGAAAACAAACGGGCCCGGAGACGGCGGCGTTGGACGCGGACGCAGCCGGGCAGGCTGGCCGGGCGCACACGGAGCATTCCCGGCTCTCRGCATCCGTGTGCATTGCTCATTGCTTTGCCGCGGCAGAGCACAGYGCTAATTGCCGTGCCGTTAATCAGTCCGTGCCGCGAGCGCGTCGGAAGCCTCTTCTCCCTGCACCAGCTGCGGCTCCGTCCCCGCTGTCCCGGCTCGGGGCTGTCACCCCCTACGCGCAGCGGGACCCAAACGCCAGGGCTTGAGCTGAGCCCCCGGAAAGGCAGCGTCCTCCTGGCACATCTTGTGCCATTTTGTGCCATTCTGTGCCATTTTGTGCCATTTCTGCCCTGTGGGGCAGCGCTCGTGCACGGCAGGATGGTGCAGGGAGCCGGCGCAGAGCCGGGTTGAGCATGTGCTGATAAGCAGCTCCCCGGAGGCGGAAAACGGCTCCCAGCCAATCCATGCACCCTCCTCCCCAAGGAGCCTTTTCAAACACAGCCTGTGGATCTGCACCCTCCTGCTTCAGGCTGCACATCTGTGGCGCCAGCTCTTCCTTCGCCCCTCAAACCCCACCACGAAGGGCCCGGCATGGGCAGCCCGCATGGCCAGCAGAGTCACCCTGGAGCCACGAGCTGCCAACAACCTGCCCGCTCGATCCCGGCCGCGAAATATGGGGAGATTTCACTGGGAATGAGCTCCCGGGCAGCGGCAGCAGGAGCAGGGCCCATGCACAGACACGGGAGCATCTTCCACCCGGGAAGYGGCGCTAGGTGAGGACACGGAGGCTGCAGCCCGGGCACATCCACGGCCCGCGGGGCCGGGCGAGGCGACGACAGAGCGAGAGCACCGCACGGGTCACACCAGTAGTGCATTTATTGGAGAATCTCACATGCAGGAACCGAAGTAGAGATGATTTCTGGAACGAGTTAAACAATGGCAGGTTAATGCAGTTGTATCATCCTCACGTAAGCACTTTCTAGGGGAACACAGCAACGTTCTAGTGCCCGGTTGCTTCGCCCTTTCTGCAGTTCGTTTCTCTTTACATAGTCGGTCTCTTTATAGTTACATCCCCCTTCTCCTGCTACCCCCTTTTCCCAAACAAAAAAATACCCAGTATCTTCAGTAAATAAATATTATCCACTTTTATCTGGAAAGCCTACAGCTGTAATATACAGAGAAGCTRTTACACAGGTTACACGTGTAGGGTTAAGAGCAGCTCGTAACGACACGTATGGAATRAGGAGCTGGGGCTCATAAAAACACAGAGCGGGACCCGTGCGGTGACACCGGGGCCGGGAGCCCGGGGACAGGCGCCGATCTGCTCCGATGGCAGCGGCAGYCACCCGCAGCTCAGGGGTTACCCCAGGAAGGCTCCGAAGCCGCTCGCCTGTTGCCTGCCTTGTTATTTCCATAAAAATAACTGTCCGAGTGTTGTTCCAGGTTGGATGTGCGGAGGCTGCAGTGGCCGGGCAGGGCTGGAGGAGCCCCTGGAACCACCCGGCCGCCCATTCCTGGCGCTGGAAAGMGGTGCGAGCTGCCGGGACACGTGGGAAGGCCTCCGGGAGCCACTGGGACACATGGGAAGGGCTCCAGGAGCTGTCGGGACACGCAGGAAGCGCTCCGGGATGGGTGGCTGCGCCCGGGCTTCTGCCACTGGAGGGAAACATCTCGCCACCGCAGGGTCCTCCGCTCGGAAACACTCCAGGTTATTCCATAAAAACACACCGCAGCACCCCCCGAGACACAGACCCCGACCAAAACCCTTCTGTCTGCAAGGGCCAAAACGACCCTGCGGACGCGAGAGCCGAGCAGCAGGTTTCAGAGACGGAGGCTGGGATGGTCGGGGGGCAAAGGGAGGCTGGAGGCCACCTGAGGGTCCCTCTAYGGACCATTCCTCATCCCTACGCTGTTCCCATGAAGAAAAAACCATGTGTTTTTATGAGCTCTTCTCCTCTGAGCCTTGCCTAGGTACTAAACATGCTAGATGTCTGTACAGCACATTGTGATCTACTATACCTGCCGGAGATGCAGCTGAAATCTACAGGCAACAATTAAAAAAAAACCCGGATATCTATATATTTAAATAGAAACCATTCATTTCTTACATCTCAGCACACGAAGGGTTAACAGGAGAGGTTAAAAAAAAACATACTGGAATGAAAATATATCGACAAAATAAATATTTTAAGCTGGGACAGGGTATTATTAGAACTTACAGTGGATCCCAATAATAATTTAGTGTCATTGAGCATCAAGCTGTGATTCCTAAGAGGCCTAAAAGCTTTGGGATGTTATTTCTTAGGGAAAGCGGTTGAGAGCGCCGCTCCATCCCTCTTTTCCCAAGCGTGGAGCCACGCTGGTTCCCTGCCCGCTTGCCCAGGGGCGTTCACAGCGAAAGCTGAGGAGGGGCAGATGGGGAGGTGAGGCTTTCGCCACGGAAAAAGCCCTTCCCTTTTGCAGAGCACGGCAGGATGGGGAAGAGGAGAGATCCTGATACAGGATAGCGGGGGGCTCTGCTGCAGCGCTGAGGTTTGGTAAAGGCGGGTTCTGCCGCACGCTCGGCGCCCCTCGGGGCCCCCAAATCTACCCCACTGCAGCACCGCGGAGCTCAGCGCTCCGAGGGGCCGGAGGAGAGGCTGGTTTGGACCTGGGGGGCAGCAGGGGGGTTTAACCCTCTCCTCCAAGGTGGGAATCTCCCCAGCGCCAATGACTGAGGGTACGAGTGCGGGAGCGGGCTCGGATTTATCCCAGCACTGCCCCTCTCCAGGCAGCCCTCTCGGAGCATCCCAYCTCCCGCGCCAGTCCAGGGAAGAGTCAAACAGCAGCAAAAGCCTCCGCAGAGGCCCAGGCTCTTTACAAAGCGCAGCAGACGCAGGCCAGGCTCAGCAGGGCAGACGGSGGGGTTGCTTTGCCGGCGGGCAGGGGGAGCGGGGCAGTAAATGTGYGGGCAGGGGGCTCTGCAGGCGGCCGCCCCAGCCGCCTCCTGCCACTCAGCATCATCTGACAGAACCCGCCGCGCTTGAGCAAGGCGATTATCCCTCGGGGCTTGGCAGCGAGGCTGGATTAACGCGCTTAGAGTCACCTGATGCGGCCGTTCCCAGGGGCAAGGATTTAGGGGAGAAAACGCGCACTTCAGGCGCCCACGGAGCCTTCTGCACTGGCAGGAACACCCAGAGCTCGCCCCGCGCTGGCGAGGC